ATTTTTTAGTATTTTCTCATTTTAAGACTGTTTGAATCAGATGCACAATACGATAGTGGAAAAAGTCTTTCATTTCATGCCACAAATAACCAAACACAGACATGGGAGGCTGAGCAAAATGCTCATTTCAGCAGACAGTGTCTGATGGCATTGATGAACTCTTCGTATTTTAGTGAGAGAAATCCTGTCGTGTCCGCAATACTCATTTTACCCCCCATACACCATCAGTTTGTGCCTCAGGATGGTTTCCCCGGCGTGTGTCCCGGCGTCTGGTTCCAGCTCTGGAGTTTGCAGTAAACAGTGTTGGAGTTCTTGCAGCGGCAGCCGGGCCGCGTCAGCCGATCATGGCAGGAGTTGCAGGCTTTAACGCAGCCTTTAGCGGGCAGATAGCACAGCAGGCAGGGGAACAGCGTCGCCATCAGGCCCATGCACAGAAAGCGCGAGCAGCACTGCGGATGCGATAATGAACACGGCCTGTCAGCGCAGGCGTCTCCAACATCGTCATCGTCCTTGGAGCAATGATAAAAAATGCCCTTCACCAAACACATGCACGTGCCCTGCTCTATCACGTTCTCCGCCGAACACAAACACAATCCGTTGCATGCGAGCCGCGCCGGCAGCGCTCGCGGAGCCGTGCACTCGCTGCATTTACACTTCCCGCAGCTCTCGCAGATGTACAGATGCGCAGAGTCTCTGCTATCCGCATGCATCTGTTTCAGGGGAGCGTCCGGCGGCAGAAAGGGAGCGTTCAGAGATTTGGGCTGAGTCCGTACGCTGTTCCTGTGATGCTGTGGTGTTCTGGAGAGTAAACCCAGCTCGGATCCTGCACTGCTGCTGCTCTCGGAGCTCCCGGTGCTGGTGGATCTACTGAGACCCGGCGGACGCACTAATAACGAGGATTGTGGCTCGTAATTATTGTTGACGTTCACCAGGATCACTTCATGAGTCCTCTCATGTTTGTGTGCGTGACGCGGTGGCGGTGGTGGTCCCGGGGCCGGTCTCCGGGGGACTGCCGGGCCCTCAGTGTATTCGTTATTACTGCGAATGGCTTTGATCTGGTCCAGGGACAGGACGGCCCCGGGGTCCGCATGCCCACGCTGACCGCGGAGATCCATAAGACACGATCAGCAGCTCCAGACCACACAGCAATGCTCATCTGACAGCCTGAGAGACACGGAGAGAGAGAGAGATGAGGTTTTATAAGTGCTTTATTACAGTTATGTAGGGGTGTAGTGGATGATGGTTGATCCGTGATCTGTAGCGATCATAAACCAAAGTTTGGAACACACGTGCCCAATATAAGGATCGCAAAAAGATTCACATATATGAACACATTTAATCTGCTCTGTAAAATATGATGATGGCTGAAGAAGTTGTGGAGGCATCTAAAGCCTTTCCTAAGTTATCACCAGAGTTTTCCGGCAGTAGTTTATCCTGCATCAATGCATTCAGTGTAGAGCTGCACAACTCATCATCATTAGATCGGGATGTCAATTCCAACACCTATGCAACATAATTATAAAGGTGAAGATGATGATGATGATGTGCACATATTTATTAATCCTTCAAAGCGCTGCGTTCAGATCTGTGTTTAATCGTGGAGGTCTTTTGAGTGGAGTTAGAGTTACAATCCAATAACACAGGAGAACTGAGAGCCGTTCATAGTTCAGATATAAACACTGATGTTTACAGTAAATACATGTGAAATGACAGGTTCTAAGTTGTGTTTCTCGCAGTGCTGTTTTAGTAATAAATGGAAAGCAAGCTATTTGTCTCCTCCCTGTTTTGGCTGATCGGAAAACTGGTGCGATCCGAACCGTGAGATCTGTGATCTGTCACACCACTACAATTATACAATTATAAATCAATTAACAATGCAAAAAAACACATCTTATAGCAACATATATTTGAGAAAGAGGGATTTGAGGTTTTATAAGTACTTCATTACAATTACATGACTATACTCTGTAATGAATTGTTGCTGCTTTAATATTTTTACTTGAATTAAATGAACTTTTCCAGTCATCAATCCTGACATCAATCAAACTGAGTAAACATGCGGAGTTGAACTTAGTCGAACTTAAAACATGCAGATGAACCTGGAATAACTTATTAAAATAAGCTGAAGTAACAGAAAGACATTTGCTGCATGACTTATTCAGTGTGTCAATCAGCAATCTACATTAAACAACAATAGCTAAACATTAAATTAATCTCTACCACAGACAAAAGCACAACTTTACAGCACCATATGTTGGAGAGAGAGAGAAATAGAGAGAGAGTAATATTAGGACAAAAAAAATTTACTTTAAATTACTTTACATTTGTTTATTTATTCATTTATTTTTATTATTATAATTTATTCTACAATTTATTGTGTGTGTGTGTGTGTGTTTGTGTATATATATATATATATATATATATATATATATATATATATATATATATACATTTGTAACATGTGTCATGCCAATAAACCAATTATTGAATTAAATTGAGAAAGACAATGCAATTTAATTGTTATGATGTTTAGTTTCTATTATTTTGATCTTTTTTCATAGTTATACTCTTCCACATATATCAAGCTTTGGCTATGTTGTCTTTTTACAGTCATGTCAATTATTAAAAGTAATCTGAGAGGGAGAGAGCGAGGTCTTTCACAGCCTGCAATTAATGCAACGGTGTTTGCAATGCCTATTCTCCACATTAATTACGTTTAAACATCTTTCTGTGATGACCTGATTAAGCTCTATTTCTACTGTTTTTTAATTAAATGCAGTTAACATTTGTAGTCAGTTTGACTGATGTCAGTGATATTTTCAGTGCACTTTTAAGTGGACTTTTTAAATTAATTCCCAGAGGAGCAGGTGATATGATTGATCGCGGCTGGCCTCTTATTGGTAATCAGCAATAATCCAATCAAATTGATCCAATCCTTCAATAAATAGACCTAATTCACACTACTGCCTTATCTTTGTTTTGGAAGAATCCCCCCTTCCACCTTATCTCCTCTTTTTTTACCAGGAAGAGCTCTCGAGAACTACCTGATCTTGGACCCCCTTACATGCTAAAAGACCAGGCGGGAGTTATCTCTGAGCTGGGGTTAGGGTTAATATATATATATATATATATATATATATATATATATATATATATATATATATATATATATATATATATATATATATATATATATATATATATATATATATATATTCTTTTTGACAGTATAAGTATAACAGAATAACAGAAGTATAAAGTCAAAAATAACACATTAAGATGTTGCACAGGTATATTTTGGGCAACAGCCAAATACACTCTATGAGTCATGAATATTTTGTTATATGCCAAAAAATCATTAGAATCTGACATAATCATGTTTCATGAAGACATTCAGTAAATTTCTTATGTTAAACATCTCAAAAATATATGTTGATGAGTAATATGCATCACTAAGAACTTCATTTAAGCAACTTTAATTGTGATTTTTCTCAATATTAAGATTATTTTTGCATGTTCAGATTCCAGATATTCAAACAGATTTTTACACCCAAATATTTTCCAATCCAAACAACAATAAAAACCTGTTTTTATTTAAATTTGACTCTTTTTTTTGTGCTCACATATTATAACTTTTTCTTAATAAACACTAATGCATGAACACCTTCACAATGCATTACACATATTTAACCACAAATACTTGTAGTATTATTCACTTAAAGCTTATTTTACTGGATGCATCTTTTTAGGACCCTTATTTTTAAGTGCACTTGGTCAAAGAAAAGCGTACCGGTAATCTAGCATTAGTGTTTACTGGAGCGTTGTAAAACTGTTGAAACACATGCACGCTCTCCGGGGCCCCACGCTTTTGTTTTTCACTTCCTTTGGGGGTTCAAGCCTTAATTAGAGGGTCAAACCCCCCGGACACACCATTCACACCCTGGTGTTCGGGATGCGCGTTCACAGCGGGTAATTCGCGCGCTCGCGGATCCGGACTGGACGTGTGCAGATGTACTTACAGAGACAGCGCTCTTAAATCAGTGTGTGTGTGTGCGTGAAGTGCGGGTCTCGAGCTCTGTTTCCTCTATTCACAGAGACATTTAACCCCCGACCAGAGACATCACACGCACACACACACAATCAAGCTGGAGGTTGTTAAATACACTGTAAAATCATCTGTTATCTGAACAATTTCCGATGGGGAGTTGCATTAAGGGATGTTGATCTCTGCTCTGTTCACTTTTGATGTTGAAAATTCACCTTTACAGTTTGACAAAGTGACTTTTATTGACATTTGTGTAGTTTGAATTAATATATTCTACAATAAAATAATATCTAGAGTAGAAATAATCTGTAAATGAACAGAACATGTGCTGACCAGGCTTTTATAGCGTTATATACAACACAGCACAGACAATATAGCCCTTTAAACCACTAAAAATGTTTA